GAGAAGTGGGTGGTGGGATTGTAGAGGAGCAGGAGGAATGAGAGAGTAAGAACTGGGATAGGTCTGAGAAATGAGAAAAGATCTTTTAAAACATAAAATAATAAAGAAAATTGACTACAATAAATTTATTTCAATTAAAGATTTTGAGGGGCAGAAAGGTCCGTCAGAGGACAAAGACACTTGCCAACAAGCCTGATGTCATAACTGAATTTGATTTCCAGACCCAAATGACAAGCAATAAATATAGTGCAAATGTTCCCTGATGTCCATACTATGCCATGGCAAATGTGTGCCTAGAAACATGCCACACATACACACAGACAAACAAATGTACACTCACAGGGACACAGAAAATACTACTTAATTAACTAAAATGTAATAAAAAGCAAATAATTTATAGAAAGGGAAGGGAAAAAAAACAGAAGAAATGGACACCAGAAAGGAAATAAGAAATAACCATAGAATTCAGTAAAAGAGAAATAAACATTTTTCCTAGAGCTTCCAAACTGCCAGCATCATCATTACTTCTGTTCATAAAGTCTTATGCTGGACACTGAAATTCCAGAACTATGAAAGTAGACCCCTCATATTCAAGCAGCAGAGCTTGTGATAATGTGTTACAGAAGGAATGGAAAGATAACATTGAATTATTTTCCACATTTTCATTTGAAGTTATTTCATATCTAAAGACATAAGATGGATTGAACCCATTATTTTTGGTGGGCTCTTCAAACTTTTTCCACCACTGTTTGAACACATAGTCTCAGTCAGCAGGAGGACACATGCAGGTTCAGGGCTGTGTGGTACAGCCAGCTGGTGAGAATGAGAGAGAAGATTTTGTTGGAGGCTGAAGCACTGTGGGAATAAAGCTGTGGTACTGCTGACAGTAGTAATCTGCCAGATCTTCAGACTGAACACTGCTGATGGTGAGAGTGAAATCTGTCCCAGATCCACTGCCTGTGAAGCGATCAGGGACCCCAGTGTACCGGGTGGATGCCCAGTAGATCAGTAGTTTAGGAGCCTGCCCTAGTTTCTGCTGGTACCAAGCCAAGTAGTTCTTGCCACCGTATAAAAGACTCTGACTGGACTTGCAGCTGATGGTGACCTTCTCTCCTGCTGATACAGCCAAGGAGGATGGAGACTGGGTCATCACAATATCTGCACAGGCACCTGCAATCAGCAATAAAAATGATGATACATAATATAAAAATTGAATTTAATATCTTTGTAATATCATGTTGTCAGAGTATTATTGTATAAGACAAATTCTATCATGACATACATTGTAAATATCTTATATACAAAGAAGTGACTCTAAAAAGAGTATAATACTTTTGAATTTCTCACCAGACGCCCAGAGCATCAGGGACAGGAGAACCTGCATTTGTGAAACCATGTTGATCCCGTGCCTGTCAGTTCTCAGTGAAAAGGCTTGGTTTATAAATTCTAGGTGATTGGACTGCATTGGAGGAGCCTATGCAAAGCAGTTAGCACATATCTAAGAAAATGCATGGGCAGTGTGTGTGACTAGCTGGTGTCAATCAACAGGAAAAAATAACAACACGGGGAGTGTGGGCAATCACTGAATGATATAATCTTACAGCACTCAAACAGAAATCTTTTAGGCACTCTAATGACAACATTGGTTTAAAATCCACAATACTTTAAAATCAGTTTGTTTTGCAGAATGTTAGGGAAGCTATCTAAGATTAACAATACTATGGAAGTGATAAATTTTGTTCAACCAAAGGAACTTAGAGTAAAAAAAAATCAATAAAAGAAAGAAATGATGGAGAAAGGAAAGAAGAAAGATAGAGAGATTAAATTTGTTCATGTTATCTTATTTTTAAAACCAAACTTAATAGAGGACAATGAACAGTGCCACCAACATTGTACTCCAGGTTCTTGACTTAAAAAAATCCAGCCCAGAATTCCCTCTATGCAAATCCTGGAGAACATTAAGATTGAGATGAGAGAATCTTAAATCTCAAGCAATGGTACATCCTGCCAAAACAAACAATGTCCTCTGCACAACTTAGGGAACTGAAACAAGATGATAAATTGTGGAAAATAGAAGAGGAAGAAAACAAACTTGATTTTTTTTAAATTCATTGTTGTAGACCAATACTTGCCAAGAATGTTAATTCTATAATATATTTTCTAAGATTACTTTCAAATTAGCAGTATTGTAAGTGGGTGAAAATAGTCTTCCTAACATAATGAACACTAAAAATCCTCTCCATTCAAGGAACACTGTTAGCTTAAATCAAGCAATAATTTACAGAGATCAATAGACCATGGCACCAGAGATTGAAGCTACACACACACAAAAAAAGATGTTTGGGTATGAATGAAAATCAGAAACAATAACTTATTTCATAGAACACATCTGTCCTTCAGGTTGGTGAACTCTGAAAGAATATATAAGAAGTAAAGCCAGTATTATATGTACAGTACAAGAAACAGAAAAGTAAATAAATAAAACGTCATGTCAAACGCTGGGAATCATATCTTTAATCTTAGACCTGGAGAGACATAATAAGGAGAAGTGTATATTTGAGATCAGACTAGGACACAAGTTCTAGGCCAATCTAATCTGTGCATAGAGGTGTATGTTATTAATCAAGTGCTTACAAGGCATTTTTTGGCACTAAACATCTAAGTCAAAGTAGTTTTCTAACATTAACATTTTAGCATTAAGCCAAGATTATTATTGAAAATTAAATATACATTTAAGTATCATATATTTCCCATTTAGTTTCATTAATTATATAATTTTATCAACCTACTTTTCAAATACAAAATGTTAAATTATTTCTGATAAACATATTCTGATCTCTTTGTCAGTTTGTAACACCATCATAAGAGAGAGATAAGCAACATGTGAATTAATGAAATTCCCAATCTCAAGGTCAAAAATAAGACAGATTAGTAACTCTGCTCCAGGAAGTGTCTGAAAATATGACAGATGAATAAATGCTCCTGTCAGTGTCTAACAAGATGTGTCATGCTCTCAATATTTGCAGAATTTTCTACTTTGCTTTGTGTCAGCTGCAATGAGATCAGACTGTTGTTTCATGCCATTTGCTGCTGATCATTCAAATAAAACACACGGAGACTGAGTCTTCCAAATACAAATGCTCCTGTAATTAAACATGTATTTTCACAGCATATAAGGGGGATCACAGAGAATAAAAAGACACAATATTCATGATCTTCTATGTATAGTAGAAAAACCAAAGAATGTTTAGTTACTACTTTTCCCCCAAATCCAGTTTCCAACCTTGTGCATTATCCTCAAAATCAGCATATTGGCGGCTGAGGATCTTATCACTTAATAAAGTGAAAAGTCATGCAATTTCAACAAAGAGTGATAAAGACTAAAATGGAACCCTCCCTACTTGGCTGGTCCTCCTGCTACCACATGTTACTTATCTTTGGAATATCATAGGCAATTTCCTGAAATTGTGTGAGAAGAACAACAGAAAAACAAGTAACAGGTGAGTTCTGTGCCCCATGGGAAACACAGCTTCATCCAGGCAAAACCTTAATGGGACTTTCAACTCCACCATCTTCAGCATGGCAATATGGAGGTAAAGAATAAACATTATCCAATCTCTTCTAAATAAACAGTAAGAATGGAGGTAAAGGAAGCTGCTGAACGTCAATAACTTGTTCTCTTCTGAAGTTAGTTTGTGACTTCTAGATGATCTTCTGTAGCTTTTATTATCTCCCAATTTAGCACTGAGATAGAAACCAAAGCAAAATCATAAAAATCACTTCATTATAATGATGAATTAAAGGGAAATCAAGAAAGTGACTATAAATGATGGTAAAACAGGAGAGAAAGAGCAAGCAGTATATGCTTCTGGAGGACTGCAAACTGATACACAGTCACTATGAACTTCAGTATGGAGATGCCTCAAGAAAACATGAAATTACCATATGATTCAGTAACTTCTGCACTATGTATTTTCCAGAACAAATGTAAACCATCTTAAAAGAGATATGCTTCCACACACATGATTATTGCTGTACTATTCATAGCAGTAAGAATTTAAATCAACCCAATGTCTATCAACAGATGAATGGACTGTAAAAAAGGTACAAATGTGCAAGAAAATTTATTCAGCTACAATAAAAATGAATCACATATATTCATTATTTTTTTCTCTTTGGTTCAATATATACAATTTGTTTCAGAAAAGACTCTTGTGTATGTGAATATAATACTTATTTTTCTGTGTTTGGGGATAGAGTTCAACCAACATCTTCTGGTCCAGGCTGAATAGTAGTAATCTTGATGATTTCCTTACTGTATATTCACCAGTAATTCTGACAGCAATTGGACAAAGTAGATCAGTATTCTAATCCTGACACGAGTAATTGAGCCAGGATATTTGCGAAGTGACAGTAATCATGCTAAACTTTGTGACATGAAATTTCAAAAAAAAATTGTATCAACAAATTCACTGGTCATACAGTGAGATATTTTTAAATATAGGAGAAAATGCAGACTTGACAACACCTTGACTAGCCTGTGAGAGCCTGAGAAGAAGACCCAGACACACTGTGCTCAGTTTGTTGGTACTGAGTTTGTAAGTCGCTGAATTTATGATAAATTCTGTATTGCACTAGGAAAGTCAATAAAGTTTCACTATCCAGAGCTAGGAATGCAATCCTGAAAAACTCAAAGATGTTCATCAGAAGTTATTGCTAAGGATCATTTTGTTGAACTTTTTACTCCACTTGGGAAGGTTGCAAAACACCAAGGAGGTTCATGAAGAGGTGCAGAGTTTCTTTGAAGTAAAGATTCTATCTCGTGCTCCTGGATCTCTAGAGTCCTGTACCTGTAATGGGAGAGCAACCAGAACCCAAAAAGGATCCTAGGTGTGGTGCCATGTAATTTATCAGTCAGGATGAAGAGGCTGATGGGTTGCAAACTGAGGTTTCAGTTTCAGTGTGACTGCTAAGTAGTGATTTGCAGGTCAGCTCAGGATATCCCTCCACTTAAGAAGACAGTAAAAATTGAAGGACGGTAAGAAGAAAATGTGGTCACATTGGGGAAGATATTAAGAAGAAGGATGTGAATATAGGATAAGAGTGAAGAAAAGCTCAGTAGTCTGAGCCTGTAGATAAGCATCTGTGATGGACACAGAAATACTGATCAGGACCTAAGCAGTAAATCAGTTGCAGGAGGGTGGCTTGTGGGATCTGTTGAAGAGGGACTTTTGAAATCTTAGTAAAAAAGATGTGGAAATGTGACATTAGGCTGAAGATGTCAACTTGTGTCTGCAAGACAACTAACAGTCTTCAATACTCAAAGCTCTTATATTGAGTGACTGAGGAACATTTGCAGTAAATGTTAAATGATTGTTTAGTCAATCTATTGAACTTAAAAACTGTGCTTTGAAAATAGTAGCAGGTGCACGAGCAAGGAACTCAGGACCGCGAGGGGTGCACCCACACACTGAGACAATGGGGATGTTCTATCGGGAACTCACCAAGGCCAGCTGGTGAGTCTGAAAAAGCATAGGATAAAACCGGACTCGCTGAACATAGCGGACACAGAGGACTACTGAGAACTCAAGAACAATGGCACTGGGTTTTGATCCTACTGCACCTACCGGCTTTGTGGGAGCCTAGACTGCTTGGATGCTCACCTTACTAGACCTGGATGGAGGTGGGTGGTCCTTGGACTTCCCACAGTGCAGGGAACCCTGACTGCTCTTCAGGCTGATGAGGGAGGGGGACTTGATTGGGG